CGCCAACATTTCGAGCTCATTAGTCGAAAGTTTGTTCTACGCTGTGTTTGAATATCTCGAAGCAAATGATATCGGCCGTCATACCTAGTGGCCAATGTCCCAAAAAAATTGCACACATTTTTCTAATGTCTTTGAATATGTCATAGTGTCTTATTTCAACTATATTAGCAACTTGTCTTTTCATATTTTCGTACGACATTTGACATTTTTGTGTAACCATTTTTTTCTTCCAAATAGTAACCTAAGTGTTGCAAAATATGCGAACAATGCCGGTAGGTACTTATGCAGACTGTGAATTGATTCCATATACGACTTCAATTTCGAGACAAGAGAATTGAAACGTTTCGTTCTTTTCAATTTTATTTGTTTCTTCTAATTTTGGATTTTCGAAGCCTTGGGTAGCGCGTTTTCACAAGGTAAGTTGTAGAGATTCGAAATTAGTATTTGTTTGCCATCTATGCAAATACTTTCCGTCCACCTCAGTGGCTAACGCGGTTACTTGTTCGGTTGTAAGGGCTCCGTCGTATTAAAATAATTGTGGGTTTCTTCCGTGCTTCGCGAAAATCCCCCATTAAAACCGGTTGATCCAAATTTTCTACATCTTGTGTGGTTCTGTAAAACTAGGAAGCAAGAAGGATGTAATCCCAGGTGATTTTTTTCCGTTGTTAGAAGTGTTGGCTGTGCCAGGTTAAAACGAGCTCAGTAACAATTGAAATAAAACAAAACCAAATGAATTTCTCAAAGTTTGGCAAGAATTATGTTCTAAAGGTCAACCAACAAGGTGACAAACTGCGCCTAAGAGCGGTACCTGCCTGAATAATAATAGAATCATGAGATAGGCAGATGAATGACAGTTGAAGACTGATTGAACTTGAATGAACTAATTTAGCTTAAGATGGCATAGGTAATCAAAATTTTTCCAAAAATGATTAAGAGTGGCAGAAAAAAAATTGATTATAAAAATCATTGCTAGGAATTTCGTTAGTCAAAATGATTATCCAAAACAGCTCTTAATAGGAAGATTTTTTGAACCTGGTGCGCTAGAAGCCCTTCAAAGTTAAATTTCAACAAAAACTGTGGTTCGTAAATTATTACAATGCCAAACTATGGGTTTTGTGAATATCTGATTCCGCATCTTTGTTTCTATTTAATCTTCCGTTTTCTTTGATCATTCTGATAAAATTTTAACAAAATCAAAGTTTTTTCTCTGGATTTCAAAGACCTACACTCACCACACTGTGCGTACAGTGCAAAGCTTGGCCTCGTAAAAAAAATCAGGATAAAATTGCTCTACAGGGAAGCTGCAAAGAGCAAAATTTGATTAAAAAATTGATTACAGCTAAACTTTCACTACAAAATGCGCCTACAGAAAAGTAATTACAGTGTTACAAAATATTCAATCAAACGCTAAATTTTAATACCGAGTGGCACGCTTCTCGGATAAAGCAGTTTTTCAATTCTTTCTAATGAGATCTTTTTAGTCCTAACATTGATTGTTTAAAAGCTTTTAATAATAACCTTTTTTGCACGTTTTTATTTGCAAAAAGTAAGAATTTTGCATGAGTTAATTGGTTATGCACCTTTGTTTTTCATGAGCAAAAGCCCACAGTCCATATAGACGTACTAATAACTCAACTGCGGCTGCAACATATGTAACTTATTTAACGTTTTTTGTACAGCTGTTTATTCTACAGTCACTAAAAATAGAAGTTGCCTCTTTTAGGCTTCAAGCAAGAAAATGAATGTTTTTTAACTTTTGTCCCGTTTCTCAAGAACTAACAAAATTTCACGTTTCAACAATTGATATACGATGGATGACGCTATTTTTTAGACACTAGTTGAATTAAAAATCTTGAAAACTGTTTTTGAGGCGCAGTTTGGCCACATAATTAGAAGGCGTCAGGGAATTGTTTGTATGCCAGAAATTGCCCGTAAACAGCAAAAGCAGTTCGAAACTTCGGATTTAAAAGTATTCGTTGAGATGTTGAGCATCTCACTAGGTCCTCATGTCCTCAGTTTATGTTTCGCATTAAAAAGAACAAAATTAGTCTCTTAGACAAAAATTGACCGAAAACTCAGCACTGTATATAGTAAAATGCACAAAATTGGAGTTACTCTTTTTTTTGTAGCTGAGTAGCTATCTGTATTCCTTTTTAAGTAACAAAAATCTAATATGAATATCTAGCTGAGATTCTTAGCCTTCTAACAAAAATTTTTTAGAAGCAAAATTTTAACTGCTTTTGCTGTTTACGGAGAAATTTTAAATTTAGCACTAGAACACTTATCAGTCGCATTCTAATTAATGGCCAAATTTCATTCATAATTTGAGAAGTTTTCAAATCCAGTAACATTGTTAGCTAAGGAGAAAAACGTGAAAAAAGTGAAAAAAAGTGAAAACGTTTTCGTTCGCTTTCTAGCTTGAATGTGAAAAAGCACAAATATGAATTTCAAATTTCGAGGTAAGTCTATGGAAAATAAAAATTGATAGATGGAACTGAAATTGTTACAATTTTTCTGTCAATCAGTGGAACGCATTTTAGTGCAAAAACAATCAACTGTTTTTCACTTTTGTAGTGGTGGGCAACGCAACACACAAACACTTTTCTAAAATTGAGAACCTAACGGATATAGAATCGATTTACAATTCAAGTTGGTGTTTTAGGGCGACATTGGAATCAATAATTTTGACAACTTTTCTGATCACAAAAAGTCTCTCTAGCCATTTGTCAATTGTTTTGTTTTGCTGGACACATTATCGCTATTTAAGCAATTACACGAGAAACATCACAACTAGTAACAAAAAATTGATGCAAACGAGAAATCAGAATTTCTAGACATTTAACTTTTGATCTATACAATTGATGAGAATCTATCTTAAACGTATGCTGCCAAACACTATGGGTTTTTTCAATTTTACTGACGTTTTGAGATAACTACAAAAAGTGAAAAAACACGAAGCGATTGACATTGTTAAATGCTAAATTCAATGAAGTGAAACTTTTTTAAAAGCCAGAAAGATAACTTGAAGTTTTGTATTGAAAGTATTCAATTTAATCAAAGGCCAAAAATTATTAAAAATTCCAGACTGGAGCCAAGAAATTTCGCGAAAAAAAAAGTAATTCTGCATCGATTTTGCAAATTGAATACTCCAGGCAACTAGGTATTGACTGAGTTTTTCTCCTAGTCCTCAAAATTTGACAGAAACAACGACTTCACCACTGGCAGTAAAAATTTCTAATTTAACAATTGCAATGTTTTTTCTAGCTTTCACCAGTTTTGGCAAATCAAAACTAAGCTTGCACAGACAACTTTATGAAAATCCTCCATTGAGGTCTACTCGACAAGTTCTCCGTTTTTGACGTCATCTAACCTGTAGTAACTGTTACAAGAGTTGGAAACAATAACTATGCTTCTATACCACCCCTGTTTTTTCCGGTATTGGGCTTGATGGACAAAGCCAGCATGTATTATTTTCTTACTATTTTATGCTAGCTAACAAACTTTTTTCCTAATAGGAAATGTCCAACATTTTTGGTGGAAATTTGATTTTTGATTGAAATTTTTGATTTTGATTGATACAACATAATTTTGAGTTAAGAGTTCAATTAGATTCTCAATTTTGATAAGAGTTCTATCATATGAAAACCAAATTTAGTTCAATGAAAAGGTAACATCAAATGCTGCATTGATGATTTATTCAAAAAAATAAGAACAGACTAAGAGTTAACTTATCCGATACAAGGTACCCTATCAGAAATTATAGCAGAAAACTAATTTGAAGTCATCATGAACCCATATTATATTTACTTGTCGTTTTAGATATGACGGATCTTAGCTCTAATTTTTGTGTCAAACCTGATTTTTGTGACAAGGCCGCATATCTCAACTCTAAGCACTATTTGCGATTTCCACTTACAATTGCGGATTCTACGACAGCTTGAGTTTACTAAAAAGAAATTTTTTTTATGTGATTATGCTTTCCACAAACTGTTCCGGATTCCGCAAATTTTGTCTCGGATAACACAAATTGTGTTGTAGATTCAGCAAAAATGCCTGTTTTTGGAGCAATACGGTGATTTAAATATTTGTCCGTGGAATTCAAAATGGCAAAGAAGAGCAAAGAAAAATCGCAATGTTGAGGGTTCTGCGACAATTCTGTTTTTAGCATATTGCGCAATCCGCTTACAATTCACAAAATACACAGTTTGGGCTCGTAATGTCAGAAACTCTTCAGATTTTTACTATCAAATCACCCCCCCCCCCCAACCTAGGCTATGTACCCAAAGTAAGAAGTAAGGTAATCAACATCTAGCAACATATCAATAAAAAAATCGAATAGCTTGCTAAAGGTAATTTTGTACAATACCTTCAAAATAGCTAGTCAAAAAGGGAGTTTTGTCTGGAGAAAAAACCACCCAGGAGCACAAATATTCAATCACCTTCTTCACAAGTAGAAAAACAAATTGTCAATGTTCGATTTTATGTTCCAGGGCCGCATCTTTGTCAGAGTGGGATTTTTTGCGCCGGTTTTTACCCTGTGGAAATTGTTTTGTGACCGTTTCGTTTCTTAAATACAAAACGTTTAAAATTGATCTCGAGCAAGATATTTACTGGACCTAACAAATGAATAGCTTGTGGCCAAGCAAACCAGAACTAGGTGCAAATAATTAAAATCACGTGAATAAATGCGTACAATCAGGATATAAATGATTTTAACTGTTCGAAGTGTGTTTTGTTTTCATTCTGTTAAAGTTAAGATCAATTTTTTGGTTTTTCATATCGATGTGTGATTAGAAACGGCTCAAAACATACACAAAACCCATTGACTTTAGGATTTAGTCCGATAAGAGCTGTTTGAAGTTTATAGAGTTTTATATGAGGATTATAGTATTCTTATTTTAAGATTATAGTATTTTAAGTTGTTTCTAGATTCCAATTTTATGAAAATCTTGTTATCCAGATGTGTTCATAAAGCTTTTTGTTTGCAATTGTTATTACGATAACGACATCAAACTCCATCTTTATATTTAGTGCAATATTACTATCAAAATTCTGTACCTGAAATTGAATTTGAAACAAAAACCTTAATTCGGCTATTGAAAAAAATAAAACAAACTGTCTTTTTCAGAGATGATGAGTTTCATTAAAAAAAACAAAGAATTTTCCATTTTAATTTTCAATGTTTTGAGTGTCATAACCGTCATAATTTCAGGTTTGCTTTTTAATAACTTGACTTTTTATCTTTTTCCTACTATTTAATTCACTATTTAATCGTTTCAAAGAGGCGCCTTTTAAAAAGTATATGTTAAGAAAAACTTAATTTAAATATTTACTCCAAATTTTCCCATCACACAAAACTGATGCGTTTTGCTATAACTTTTTTAAGGTTTTATTGGCAATAACTTAATTGGTAAATTTAATTGGTAATAATTAGGTCTGGCCACCCCCCACCTGGAAATTAGATGTGGTCTTGTAGTGCTGTTGATGTCCTGCCTCTGGATGTTCGAGCTGTTACCCCTCCCACTCACAGCCATGCTTCCTCTGGTTAGTTCAGCACACAGTCAACTTTGGAGCAATTCATCATTCATACGAGACAAATTGCAGAAAAAAATCTAATCGAAACCAAAAATATTGACAACCAGCGCAAAATTTTGAAAAAGGCAAAAGGGTCACAAGCTTTCTGAAACAAAGCAAAAAATTCACATGTTTGTTCTCAATGTTTTATGGAATCATATATGGGTATATCTCTAAAAAATTAGTTGGACAGAATTGTTAAAAAAGAGCAGTCTATCCTTTTTGAACCAATTTTTTATTCAGCTAATAAATTTTCAGATTGTTTTTTGAGATTCACTTTTCTTTCCAATTTATTTTTTCAGGTGTTGTTTCCGGTGTTGGAAATTTCGGATGCAAAGATAGTGGCGACACAATACCTCAAAGACACAACTGTCCTCCTATTTGGGGGGTTAATGTTCGCGGTCTCAATTGAACACTGGAATGTACACAAGCGTATTGCCCTAGGTCAGATCTAGTTATTATTGTTATCTCAACATAGAATCGAGTAGGTATACCCAGATTGACCAAAACTTGCAAAGCTTGCAGCCTAGAGCTTTTCTTGTTAGAATCTTACAAGTTTTTTTTGTCGAAATCATTCAGGATTATTACAACAAACTTTAAGTTGTGGGATTCAAACATTTCTTATGAATTAAGACGATTTATCCGCAAGAGAAAGAACTTTGCTGAAGAACCGCTGTTGGGCCCTGAATTAAGAATTACATGTAACTTTCAAAAGTTTTTCCTAAAAAGCTGGCCCGCACAAAAATTGATTGAAACCGATTGTAGCATAAAAAATTTAAGCAGATTAAATTGAGATCGATTCAAGTGTTAAAAAGTACGTTGATCATAAAAAAATCAGATGGATTTAGATCAAACTTAAATCAATTTAAAACGATCTAAAATCTACGCTAAAAATCTATGTTTTCAATCGTTTTTTTAAACAAATTTTTTCTTCAAACTTTCGAATAACTGAAGAAAAAAAATTTGAGAGTTTTGTCACAGGTCCTAACAGACATCAAAATTGACTTAAGTGCCTTTAAAAAGTACCAAATGGCTTAAATTGCCTCGAAAACCTCAATGAAGGCCGGTTTTGGAAAATTTGACCAAAAACCCGTATTTCTTTTCACTCGGCTTCCTCAAACTTAGTATATATCGGCAACCAAGGCTCCTTCAAAAAAAAGAAAAGGCTTGTCGCCCAAAAATGGACTTCACTAAATAATTCAAAAAGGGGGGTTCCTTTGGTTGCTCAGGTGGTCGAATCTCTGAGAAGGAGGAGCGTCTGCATCCCCCTCTCGCAATCCTCTAAATTCGCGCCTGAAAACAGGTAAAACTGGATTTTGTTTTTAATCAAAAAACCATTTTCTTAACCAAAAGATTAGAAGGAAAAACAAGACTACTCGAATATCAGGGCAAAACCCTGAATATTCGGATTGCCCCTTAATCCATATCGAATAATTTTTAGTACAAAAAAATTTGAAAAAATATACCAGTATCAAACAACATGAGTGAAAGTTTGAGTTGTACAAACTTAACACGACCAATTAACCTGCCGCCTCATTTAAATTTAAAACGATTTTGTTGTGCGGGATAATTCAACACTCAAAAAAATTTTGCGTTACGCCCTCAGCTTTATGAATGAAAGCTACCCATTCCAGAACAATGCCAAAGTGGCTTCTTCCAAATTCCCAGAGTTTTACAAAAACTAAAAGGAAGCTTATTAGCGTAATTGCTGTGATAAATCTATTAAATAGTTCCAGAAATGAATGATCATCAATTTGAATTTCCCGAAGTTCATGAAATCAGAGAAGCTATCAATTTAAACCTCAAGAAATGAATTTTCTCGATAGAAAAAGAAAACTACTGAACCTCATTGAATTTCAACAATCAGAAACTCAAATACTAGAAGAGAAGCAAAGTAAAATAGTGTCAAAATTAATTGATAATGTGAACAACAATCACGATGTGTAGAGTTAGCGAAAAATTCACGGGAGATGTGCTTGATATTTGTCAACTTAGAAAATGGACCACATCATCTGTCCGATGTTCTGCAGTTACTAAGAAATCAACTGAAAAAAATCTCAATGATTCAAATTTTACAGCCTGTTATCTCTTGAGTAGCAACAAAAAATCATCGATTTTTCTTGAATTTATTTTCCCTGCGAACAGGGATATTATATGGAGGAAAAATTGTGGCTGAATTCAGTACGAACTTCACTGAATTTGCCAATTATGCTTGAGGAATGCCTTGCACCACCTGACAGACAGAAATGAGTAAGAGCGAGGCGTTTAGGAGTACTGATGTACACCCACAAACAAATGTTTACGCCAGAGATCCAGTTAACCCTTCTAATGGGGCAGTGCAAATAAAATCTCTCCATGAACTAAACTCGTTTGTGCCGAATACTGTCCAAGAAGAACTACCTCATCGTTTAACTGTGGAAAAAAAGACAGTGAAAACAACGCAATGGATATCACAAACTGGAAGGACTGTCTAGAGTCACCAAAACTTTCAACCATATAGCAAAAACTAGGCACTATTCCATATTTTAGTAATGCAAAAAAAAGTACGCATTGTCACTCCTTGATCAAAATAGGCAGAAAGAGCTAACATAGAGAATCAACAAAGAATTGGCACATACCATCATCACCGCACTACAACCAGTAAAAATGTAGCTCGAAGCAGCTCTCAAACCAAAGAGGATCTCTTAACATAAAAATGACAATCCCTGTGATTAAAAATAAGGATCAGAATGATAGTTGTCCTGGTGCTAAACTATCATTGATGCATGTGAAAATTAGATGATCTCTTTAGAAAATATTTGAAGGTAAGAGGCGCTAGTAATCTCTTTCTAGTCTCCCTTGTAATAGATTATAAGGAGCTTAGGCTTAAGACACATGACTACATAGGGGGGTTGTAGTGATATAAACACTTGAAGGAGATTGGATTCTGAAAGACCAATCTATATCATTGGACGATTCATTATCTAGTAACTTGAATGTAAAAGGTTTATGCTTAAACTCAACGACAATTTACACAGAAAAAACAAGAAACATCAACGTGTAATTTGTTGAAGATATGAATGACCTACAAGAAAATTTTTCATTAGAGTTCATACAGCATATTTTGTGAGGAAAATTCCAAATTGAAATGCCAAAATAAAATCTCACCACAAACGGTTCCACTAATATAGTAAAATCGAAGGGTTTTGATTTCTAATTGAAGGAGCCGACGCCAGTATCTAAGATCACTCAGCTACATTAACTGACCACTTTGCCATCAAAAACGAAATAATGCATTTCGGACAATTTTGAAACCTGAAAGTTTGAGCAATCATTGTCAAAAATCTTTGCCCACCCTTTGTATAGATTAGATTTTTAAGAGTCCATCTGAACTTTGTAGAGATGTTCCTTTTGCAAAAGCTTGCAAAAAACGAATGTCGTTTTTTTGCCACAACACAACGTATCGGACTATGTAATTCCATTGTTCAAAACTTATTAACAGTTTTCCCTGAAGCAGTAATAAATTGTGCTCCAGTTAAATAGAAGTTGTGTCAGAGAAAACATTACCAAATTGGTTCACAAACCGCATGAAAAATTTACAAATTAAAAAAAATTGGTTGCACAAAATTTTGATAGTGATAGGGCGAAAAAAGAGATAATGCGTTTCAAATTTGAAAAAAAAAGATTAAGATAGCTAAAAAACATTGAATCAAATTAAGTTTCAAAGTTACATCGGAAACTCAAGACAGGTGTTTACGTTGTTAAACGATCTGAAGGGTAGCTCAATTAAACCTGAATTATTTCCTGCTATAGCGTGCGCTGAGTCCAGCAGTTTTCTCTGGCAGCAAAAAGTAGTTGAAACTTAAAGAACTTTCTACAACTGTTGTTTTGGACGTCGCGAAAAATCTGAAACTGTTAGAGTCTATCGATCACTAACCGCAGGGTTTTTCTTCTCCCTGAGTAAAGTTACTTTTAATGAAGTCTCAAATTGCGTATAAAACATACCTAACAAAGCATTATCTGGTGATGGTATTTCTTTAAACCTCAAGAAATGAATTTTCTCGATAGAATAAGAAAACTACTGAACCTCATTGAATTTTAACAATCAGAAACTCAAATACTAGAAGAGAAGCAGAGTAAAATAGTGTCAAAATTAGTTGATAATGTGAACAACAATCACGATGTGTAGAGTTAGCGAAATTTTCACGGGAGATGTGCTTGATGTTTGTCAACTTAGTAAATGGACCACATCATCTGTCCGATGTTCTGCAGTTACTAAGAAATCAACTGAAAAAAATCTCAATACTTCAATTTTTACAGCCTGTTATCTCTGGAGTAGCAACAACAAATCATCGTTTTTTCTTGAATTTATTTTCCCTGCGATCAGGGATATTATATGGAGGAAAAATTGTGGCTGATTTCACTACAAACTTCACGGATTGTGCCAATTATGCTTGAAGAATAACTTGCACCACCTGACAGACAGAAATGAGTAAGTGCGAGGCGTTTGGGAGTACTGCTGTACACCCACAAACAAATGTTTACGCCAGAGATCCAGTTAACCCTTCTAATGGTGCAGTGCAAATAAAAACTCTCTATGAACTAAACTCGTTTGTGCCGAATACTGTCCATGAAGAACTACCTCATCGTCTAACTGTGGAAAAAAAGAAAATGACAATAACGCAATGGATATCACAAACTGGAAGGACTGTCTAGAGAAACCAAAATTTTCAACCATATATATCAAAAACTAGGCAATATTCCATATTTTAGTAATGCAAAAAAAAGTACGCATTCTCACTCCTCAGAAAGAGTTAACATAGAGAATCAACAAAGAATTGGCACATACCATCATCAGCGCACTACAACCAGCAAAAAATGTAGCTCGAAGCAGCACTCAAGCCAAAGACGATCTCTTAACCCAAAATGACAACCCCTGTAATTAAAAATAAGGATCAGAATGATAGTTGTCCTGGTGCTAAACTATCATTGATGCATGTGAAGATTAGATCTTTTTAGAAAATATTTGAAGGTAAGAGGCGCTAGTAATCTCTTTCTAGTCTCCCTTGTAATAGATTATAAGGAGCTTAGGCTTAAGACACATGACTACATAGGGGGGTTGTAGTAATATAAACACTTGAAGGAGATTGGATTCTGAAAGACCAATCTATATCATTGGACGATTCATTATCTAGTAACTTGAATGTAAAAGATTTAAGCTTAAACTCAACGACAATTTACAAAGAAAAAACAAGAAACATCAACGTGTAATTTGTTGAAGATATGGATGACCTACAAGAAAATTTTTCATTAGAGTCCATACAGCATATTTTGTGAGGAAAATTCCACATTGAAATGCCAAAACAAAATCTCACCACAAACAGTTCCACTAAAACAATCAAATCGAAAGGTTTTGATTTCTAATTGAAGGAGCCGACGCCAGTACCTAAAATCATTCAGCTACATTAACTGACCACTTTGCCATCAAAAACGAAATAATGCATTTCGGACAATTTTGAAACCTGAAAGTTTGAGCAATCATTGTCAAAAATTTTTGCCCACCCTTTGTATAGATTATATATTTAAGAGTCCATCTGAACTTTCTAGAGAAGTTCCTTTTGCAAAAGCTTGAAAAAATTGAATGTCGTTTTTTTTTACCACAACACAACGTATCGGACTATGTAATTCCATTGTTCAAAACTTATTAACAGTTTTCCCTGAAGCAGTAAATAATTGTGCTCCAGTTAAATAGAAGTTGTGTCAGAGAAAACATTACCAAAATGGTTCACAAACCGCATGAAAAATTTAAGAACTAAAAAAAATCGGTTGCACAAAATCTTGATGGTGAAAATAGAGATAATGAGTTTCAACTTTGAAAAAAAAAAAGATTAAGATAGCTAAGAAACATTGAAACAAAATAAGTTTAAAAGTTACATCGGAAACTCAAGACAGGCGTTTACGTTGTTAAACGATCTGAAGGGTTGATCAATTAAACCTGAATTATTTCCTGCTATAGCGTGCGCTGAGTCCAGAAGTTTTTTCTGGAAGCAAAAGGTAGTAGAAACTTAAAAAATTTTCTACAACTGTTGTTTTGGACGTCGCAAAAATCTGAAACTGTTAGAGTCTATCGATTACTAACCGCAGGGTTTTTTGTTCTCCCTGAGTAAGGTTACTTTTAATGAAGTCTCAAATTGCGTAAAAACATACCTAACAAAGCTTTATCTGGTGATGGTATCATTTGCAATATCCTAGTTAAGTCTTCAAACGTTTGCGTTGCACCAGGTATCACCTCATTAACCTGTTTTTTACACAGAGCATTTTTCCTGAGGAACTATCGAAAGCAAAAGTTTTCTCACTGCCTAAAATTGAGTCAAACTTCCTTTAATTCCATAAACGAAAAGATTCGAATTGCCCCTTAATCCATATCGAATAAATTTTACTCGACATGGAATACTTTCTGTTTATGAACAAATGTTTTTGAACTATCAATATCTTTCTTTCTGAATGCTATCTCAATGATTCATTAAAATCTGAAAACTTAAGTATTTAACCTGTGGGGCCTATAAAAAATTTTGAAGAAACTTCAAAAGAAGCTGGAAAATTGTTCAAAGAAGCTTTACCTACAGTCAAATGGAGTGCTACTTTATAACATTAAACAATTAACAGAAATGAAAATATAGACATAGCCCATGTTTTCAGAAATAAATAATTTTGAAAAAAAGGAGTCGTGGTTTTTTATCTTTTGTTAAGGATTCATGATATAGTGTCTAACACCTCATTAGACTTAAATCCATAGGATACGGTTTCGATTGATAGCTAATGCCTGGATAAAGATGGAAAAGATGAAAAACCGGAGCTATAAGCAAGGTTATCAGGGTCGTACGGAAACGAAAAGAGGAAAAGATTAAAGCAGGATAGGAGGTGGGGATTGGAATAATCATAAAAAAACCCAAAAAAAAATTGAATTATAAGGCTATCAAATTCACGCTGTCAGAGTGTTTTAGTTTAGCGGTAAAACTCATGTTTTTGTTTTATGATCTCAATAAAGCGTTTGATAACATAAATAGTAAATGAACAGAAAACGAAATTGTATACATAGCCCATGTTTTCAGAGTTGAATATTTTTGGAAAACATTGATTCGAATATCGAGTAGTTTCATCATTTCCTTAGGGTTCATGGTATTATGGCTAACATCTGAGACTTGAACCACTGGGGTTCGGTTTTGATTCATAGTTGATGCCTGGATTTATATAAATGCACATAAGGTGAAAAACTAGAGCTATAAGCAGGGTAATCATTGTCGTAGTGAAAGAAAAAAGGAAAAGAGTAAATCAAGATAGGAGGCGGGGAATGAGATAGTCATTAAAACGAAAATTGAAAAAAGAAATGAAGTAAAAGGCTCTCAAACTTTACACCGGTAGAGTTCTTTCGTCTATGGAAAAAAATCTTCGTTTTTTCATGATTTCAATGAAACGTTTGATACCCTAGGTCATCAAATTCTTCTCAACAAAACTAACTTTTCACGGAACGAATGGTTTTGCACTAAAAAGTTTGAGAACTGATTGGGTAATCGTAAGCAAAGTGTTGAAATAGCAAATATTACTTAATCGTGGCGATTTCTTCCTTATGAAGTACCACAAGGATCCATTTTAGGACCTGTGTTATTCTTGATTTGTTTTAACGATTTGCCGCATGCAACAGTGCACGGGTGTTTCTTTTTGCAAGCGATACAAATATCAGCACACTGGGCTCTGGGTTTTCTAGTACTGATACTGATCTTGATTATCTTGATAACCGGTTATCTGCAAATCACCTGGCCTTAAACCTCAATAAAACAGTTCAGCCTACTCCAGGGTGCAGAACGACTCGTATTTTGGAATTGGCAGGTGTTCCTATGAAGCGTGAGCACAGTTGCAATTATTTAGATTTTTATATTGAATCAAAATTGTCATTCCAACTCACAATCAAAATTTTATGTACAAAAAGGCAATATGTTTCGCGAGATCATTTGATAAGCTATTACAAATCAATTATCAAACCCGTTTTGCAAAATGAAAATCTTGTTTATGGTTATTATAGCTATAAAACTTTTCAACCAAATTTCATAATTCAGAAATTATTTTTCGAATCTCCGTAAGTATTTCCGTAATCAAAAGAGTCTTCGGGGGAAAGTTTTTACCCGACATGGAATACTCTCTATTTATGAACATATGTTTTTGAACTATTGTATTTTGTTCTAAGATCTATCAATAATTTTCATTCTGAATGCTATCTCAGTGATTGATTAGAATTTGAATTAGTCTTCTATACATTTGGAACAAAAAATTCAGATCGGCTGGTTTTCAATATTTCTCATAGGAGTACAAATTGAAAATTAAGAGATAGGATTGTTTGAGGTCTATCAAACGGTAGTTTTCCTTCATCATGTCATTTGTTGGTGGATGTGTTGTACAAAGCAGGACGTTTATACATTTGATAGCAACTAATTAACTAACAAGCCTGCTTGTATCAGAGAGAAGACCGACTGCCTTTTAAGTTTCATGGAGCAGTAATAACATAAAAAAATTAAATGTAAAAAAAATGAAAATTTTTTTCCACACCCCATATAAAGTACAAAAGAATAGATTTCGCTCCTTGTACAAGTCATTTATGACAAACAAGACTGCTCGTATCAGGGCGAAGCCCTGAATGTTCCGACTGCCTTTTAAGGTTTATGGAGCAGTGGTAAAAAATAAAATTAAAATGTAATATAAAAAATTTTTTAAAAAAATCTAAATTTTGAAAATTTTTCATGAAACCATCGCCTACACGTTATTTGAAGTACAAAAGAAAAAACTTCGCTCATTTTAACAAATCAGTTTTGGCGAATAAGCTTCTTTCAACCAATCTGGATTGATTTCTAAACAGGATTAAATCTCCTCTTACGCGTTAATAGCGCGAAATATATCGCGTGTTAATTGTCTCAAATTGGCCAAAATGGCAATCTTAAAACTCCCATAACTATACAAAAAATGATCACAGGTGATATATCTTTTCAAATTTAAGCTCAGGACAACAACACTTTTTGAATGATAAAAAATAAATTCTGTCCAAAATGGCTAGTTAAAAAGTCGAAATTTGTCTGAAGAAAAAAAAACCCACCCCGAGCACAATTTTTCTGTTACTTTCGTATAAAAAGTCGGAATAAAAATCAAAACTGAACAGTTGCTTCTGGCTTGATACAAATTACAGATAAAACCAGATTTGATTTGTTTAAAAAATCATGTTTTCAAATCTGTTGTTTCACAATTTCTCTCATAAATTGTTAGTTATTTTTTTGATGATCTTTATTTTCCCTCCCTGTGTCTTGCCGTGTCGTCCCTCCAGTATATGCCCCTTTTTTCCACCCACCCTCCCCTGCTTAAACCTCCTTGCTTGCAACCCCGCCCTCACACGTTTACTGCATACAACGGGGGGGGTGTCATCTGAAGCCATAGATATGGATCCTATATCGGTTCTAAGCTTTTAAACGAAAACTTTATCCAATTTTATCCCAATTTAATTTTCGACCTACCCATCACGTGAGGTGATTGGCAACCAATATTTAACAAGAAAACCGCAAACAATCAAAAAAAAATTATTCGCATTGTAAATAAAAATTATGTCTTTTTGGGCAATTTTGATCGAGCAAACCAAGTCAGAAAGCCACAGTTTTTTTAGAGAAAAGGTTTTGGGTCCAATTTTTGCAAAACTATTTGCACCGTTTGGTGTCAGAAACTATAGCCCTCATCACGTTTGTCTTAAACTGGCTCAACTAAAGAAAAAAACCAAACTTTAGTTTAATTCGTTCTGATGGGATAATTGAAACCATCTCTGTGTTTATTAGCCACTCTGTCAGTATTCGGGGGTCACAAGGGCATGGTATTGATGAGCTTCATGCTGATTGGCTGGTTCCTGTCCATGTGGATCAGTAACACTGCCACTACCTCAATGCTAGTGCCCATAGCCGCTGCAGTAGCCAATGAACTGGACCCGAAGAACCAGAAGAAAAAAATGACAAAGAATAAGGAAAAACAAGGTAATTTTCAACTGTTTCACAGGTTTCTGACACTGAAACCATGGGGCTAGTTTTGCGTTATCAAAAAAAAACAATTAGAATTAATTATAAAAATTAGTTCACAAGAATAAATGGTATTTTCAAATGGTATACAATAAATGGTAAAATCAAATAAGCAAACAAAAAGTATCGCTTTTGCATTTGAAAAAAAATATATGATAGTTTTTTTAAGCAAGTTCATAGTATTTGTATATGTTGAAGAGTTGTTAGTCGACGCTCCGTAAAAATATTGTTTATCTTAAGGACTAAATCTTGATACGAGCGAGCATGAACAGCCCGAGAAAAAAAGAGTGCAATACGACAGACACAGTGATGTTATTGTCATTAATGGCGAGGTCGGTGAACTTGCAGCCGGCAATTTGGACGAAGTCACAGAAACAACTATTGATTCGTAAGTTTTCTTCGTAAATGCTTGTCAAACTTGTAGCTAAAAATCATTAATGTTAGAAAGTCATATTACACCTGTTTTCAAGAAGATCGTTTTCGACTATAGAACATAATTACACCGAGAAACAAATATCAAATTTTAGTATTCTCCGTTTTTTTATAAGATCTTGGTTCTGTGATACAAGATCACATTCTGATAAATTAATACGATTTATAACTTGTGTTGAGAAAAAATTTGATCTTGTCTAAGTATTTTTTGATTCGACAATGGGGCAAGTTCAGTAGTGAATTTACTTTGATACCTTTAAAAGTTTTCCAAAGGCGCCTTTAGCGCCAACGTTATACTAATTTTGAGGGGGGAGCGAGCGCCGAAAAAAGTTGATTTATCTCTTCAAAACCCTCCAAAAGCTACCTGAAAAGGTCTTTCTGCTAATTAACTCCAAGTTATATTTCCAAATTTATAAGCCCAAACTTACGTAAATTTCCGGTCATCAACATATCTTGCTATGCGCGCATAACGTTCGTTATTTTCACTATTTTCAGCTCGAGGCGCTTGAAAACTGACCTTCAGGTTTAATAGCGCCCTCCCAATCTGTGGTAAGTCGATAATTTTGCTTGTTTTTGTTTTACTAAGGCATTATTTACTAAGGGGCTATAACGCAAGAGTACCAGAGAATGAAATCCAAAAAATTCAAACAAGCAGTTTGGTTTTATTTTTTTCAGTCATGACGCAAAAGATTCGGAGTTCCTGAAATTCAAGCGGGGTCTCATGTTGGGTGTGGCCTACTCGTGTAGCATAGGAGGTACTGCAACTATCACAGGCACAGCCCCCAATGCACTCTTATTGGGAAACATTGAAGACTTCTATGGAAAGGTAAACTGAACCAAGTTGACATTCTCTCCCAAAAAATTGGTCACTAAAAGTGTCAGAGATAAAAAAAAAGACAAAAGTTATCCTTGACGACCGTTTTAGGGAGATGATTTTAACTTGATTCTTATTTGTATGTTTCAGCCAAGCAGAATCGAGTACTTGAACGCTAACCAATTTTGATAAAATTAAATGGTGGTGCGGACGAACTTAACTTGGTATTTTTTTTGGGGGGGGGGGGGGGGGGTATTTAATTGATTTGGAAAATTATAGGGTTTTTTTTCTCTTACACGGTCCGAAAAAAAATTGTCAAAACCAATTTCTTTATGAAATTAGCTTCAGATGCCTTACGTAGTAATTGTTTTCAACCAAAGAGATCCAAAAAACACTATGCTTCATTTTTCAAGCAAAAATCGAATCAGCCAGTTTTGGACCCCATAACAGAAAAGACCCAAATTTTGACTCGACGCTCCCATATTTCGCCTCTCTTAAGTTTAAGGGCATATCTAATACCTCCACCATGTTAGTTAGGTTCAAAAAATTTAGTCCAAAACGATTCTGTGATTGTGTGTATGCTTCTGTTTGGAGTTTTTCCTTCTATATTACTGTCATTTTCCTAGGGCATTACCTCAGAGAAATTTGCTCGTCGTAAGGTCCTTGTGTAGCATTCATTGAAAAGGTTTTAAATACGATTGTTTAAAATGATGTATATCGGTATTTGCCATACTAAATAAAACTATACCAGTGTGTAGCGGGACTTTGAGAATGGATGACCATCTCTCTTCCGTCAGTTCTGGTTGCCAAATTTTTCCAAATTTTCCCCTTCGGCTTTCTTGTAGGTCTCCATTGTAGCTCAGAAGTATGCATGCTTTTAAATTTTAGACCACTGGATTCAACTTTGGAACATTCATGATGTATTCTTTCCCCGAATCATTAATCTGCTTGTTCGTCGCGTGGACTCTACTCTACACTGTCCAAATGCACAATTTCACTAAAGCAAACTCAACTGACCTTGAACTTAATACGCAGCTTGAATTAAAAGTTGGCTCACCCGAAGGTCATGAAAGATCGTTCAAGGAGGTTATAAACGAACATTATAGAGACTTGGGATGTTGGAAACCGGCTGAAAAGATAGTAACTGTGGCTTTTGTGACCTTGGCCCTTCTTTGGATCTTTAGGTCACCAAAGTGCATACCAGGTAATTTTATTTTACTAAGTTGATGAATTTTAGTAGGCGGATTTTCAAAAATTTTGACGACCTTTTTTTTTTAGGTCGACCAAATTGATTTTCCGAGCTCTTCTTAAGCACTAAAAAGTCCCTGTTTTGGCCAAATTTTCTGCGCCGCAGGCAATTTTTTGAAAAAATAGGTCAAAAAAGCCGTTTTCAGGCACTTTTTGAAACATTTTGACAAAAAAGTGCGTTTTTTTTGGCGCGCAATCCCCCTCAAAGTTAGTCTATATTGGCGCCGAAGGCGAAGGCGCCTTTAGATAAATTTTAAGGTCGGTCGGCAAAAAATGGATTTCTTAAAACGTACCAAAGGCGGACCCTTAGGGTCGGCAGGGGGTCGAATCAGTGTACAAAAACCAGTGCAAAAAACTAGATGCAAATCAGTTATCATTGCAAATAATTAGATGCAAACTAGATGAAAAAATTTGAAATTTTGAAATTAATTTCTCAAGTGTGATTGAACCTGCTAAAACCTGCTAAAAAAACCTTTCAGTCGAGGCCCGCTTTAAAGATATAATTCAAAACACTTTCTCAGTTTCGAAATTCAGAATTTGTAGCTATACAGATTCAGATTTAGCGAAAAGCGTAAATTTTTTTTTCTCTAGGCGGAGAATTTCTCCCGCATTTAAGAAAAGTGAAGACAAATCGATTATAATGGATTTTCGTGGTCTAGAATGTTGTAAAGATAATCGATTCCATGTTACGCTCAGACAACAAAATTGGACTAAAAATGGATTCAAATTCATTTTTTTTAAATGGATTTTTTTTTTCAATTTCCTTGTTTTGCTTTGTTTTAAAATGAATTCTAATTAATTTGAAATCCATTATAATTCCATTGTAATAAGTAGAAAATCACATTAAAATGGATTTTTTTTCCACTTTCCTTAATTCGCTCCGTTTTTGAAAAAGCAATAGAAACCATGAATTAATAACAAAACACGTTCGAAATTGATATTTTAGAAAACATATCTGTTTTTATTCGAAATGAGCGGTTTCAGCTTCTATGAGATAAATAGCGGATTAGTATGCCTTTAAAAAGTTACATAATTTGCGGATTTATCACTAGCAGGTTCAATCACACTTGAGAAATTAATTTCAAAAATTCAAATTTTTTCATCTAGTTTGCATCAAATTATTTGCAATGATAACTGATTTGCATCTAGTTTTTTGCACTGGTTTTTGTACACTGGTTTTTAAATTGTTTCATGTTTTTATTTCAGGCTGGGCTGACTTGTTGGGGCTGAGTAAGATCTCGGATGCCTCGGTGGTGATGGTCATCGTCTTTGTCCTCTTCGCTAGTCCCTCCTTCTCACAGAACAAATCAGAGGACAAAACCATACTCACCTGGTATAAGTTCCCACACATTTTTAGCAAATTTGTTGCTTTGAATATTTGAGGCATCTTAAATTGCGTAATAAAAATTTCCGTGGATTCCCCGTACAAATACCTGTTACGTAAATTTTGTCAGAAAGTGTTCATTCTTTCCGTACTTGAGATCGAAAATCTTATCATTCTTTCAGTATTTGAGATTTGGCTTGTGAGTTCAAACTGTTGACAATTAATGTGTTTGAACTGTTGGACAGTCTTGCTGATGACCCACGAAAATAGATTTAATTTAAAATATATGTTACTGGAATCCTTAAACAAAGTTCGGATTCCGCTTAAAGTTGCGGATTTTGCAACAGATCAGTTTTACTACACCTTTATTCTATTAATTATTTGTGGATTCCATAAACTGTCCTGGCTTCCGAAATACTGATGCGGATTTCGCAAATTCGCATATTTTTTGAGCTGTTTCGATTGGTACAGTGTTTTAGCTATTTGTTTATGGAAAGTAAAGTAGCCATGTTGCGGTTTCCGTGACAAGTCTACTTTGCGCGACAAATTAAAAGACGAGAACTTCTTCCCAATCCTTTAATGAATTTATAAGGACCAGAAAGTCTCTAGAAGTAACTGGAGTAACAACACCACGAAGTCAGTAACAACACCAGGGAATCAGTTTCGCACTGTCGACGCTACCCTTCAAAATTAGAAAGACATTGGCGCCAAAGGTGCTTTTAAAAATTTTAGGGCTGATCGACCTTAAATGGATGTCATACAATAATACCAAAGGGGGGACCATTTGGTTGGTGAGAGGGCCAAATCCCTGAAAAACAGAAGTCCGCCATTCTCATCCCCCCAAATCCGCCTCTGCTTTTACTGATTGAAGTGTCACCTCTTTGGTCCTATTTCACGACATCAACTTTGGCCACCAACTCTAAAAATAGTGAATCAAATTATAGGAAACAATTACGAAAAATTACTGATATATCTGGTTACGTCATTTAAGTAGTTATTGAGGTTAAATCAAAAGCAACAACGAATATATTTGAAAATTAAGCAACAAAATATATTTGAACATATTTGAAAATTTTTAAAACAAATGATAGGAATATTTCACTTCCATAGCAGTATAACCTAATTTTTAAAAAAAATGCGCATAATACCTTTGAAGTTTAGGGGCGCAAACGTTGCTTACGACAACTATGTTTTTACCATGAACAAGAAATGGTCGACAGAGTTTACCTGAAGTATGGCAATGATAGTTTTGGATCGAGAATGACAGTAAAACCCAGTTTTGTGGGCGTTTTAGCGGTACCGCTACCATAACAAATTATTTATCTGACAAAGAAAAAGAATGTGGATTTTTGATCTAATGTCCTAAATTCGATAACAAAAGCCTCAAACTTGTTTTCGACAAACTTATTGAAACAGTGGACAGCGATGACTTATCAAAACGTCTTTTGCTACATTAGGACCTCGACGAAAAATAAGGAATGGCTGTTTTGCACGATAATGTAGGGTTGCGCTATATAGCCGAAATTGCAATGATAAATTGTTGCGGCTTTTTAAGTGATTCTTGGCACGTATGTTTAAGTTCATGTTATCTTTGCTGTTAAGGAAAATGACAAATTTCGGTTAGCTTAGGCTTTTCTTTACTGAAAATTTATTTTTGTGGGACTATGACAACAGTGCAGCATATAGGTGGCTTTTTTGAAAAGTTTTTAGAAAAAATATTTTTGAGGCACACCAAAGATCGTGCCAGCCTGGAATTTCAAAAATTGTATGGCCGTCTGTTTACCCGCACCGAGCGCCCATGGATCATAATCGATTATAATGTCATAATATGGTCATTATCTATAAAATGACAAAATAATCGATTATAATCCATTAAAAACGGATTATAATCCTAATATTTTTATCCCAATAAAATCCATTATAGTCGATTATAGTCGATTATAATGGATTTTTTCGAGGGGTTATTCATGAAGTTCAAAATTTTGATCGAAGTTATTTCGTTTCCTGTTTAGTGTAGTTGCTACGTGTTATGTTTCATAAAATGTTACATTTCAGAAAAAAATTTATATTTTGTTTGTCTCTACTTTTTCTAATTCATCGCAGTTTAACACTTCATTTTACTGTTTTTTACCACAACCCCCCTCCCCCCCCCCCCCCCCCCCCCCAGTTCAGCAACCCCCTCCCCCCCTCCCCCAGCCAGTTAAGCCCCCAGTATACTACCACCCACCAGTTTACTAGCCCCACCCCCAGTTTACCCCCTCCCACCATTTACCCCCCCCCCTCCAGTTTACCCTGCCCCTTTAGTTGGGGAGGGGGGATAAAAAGCTTGAGGGGGCGAGGGGACGAAGTTGAGACATGGCATTTAGTAAAAGACAGGGCATAAATTCTGCAAACTTCTCGCAAAATTTGCAAAATTTTGCAAAAATCATCGAATTTAGTTCTAAAAATGAAATGGAATATAATCATCATAATGGATTATAATGGATTTTCATTTCAAAATAATCGATTAGAATGGATTATCTTGGCAAAACTAATCGATTTCAGTGACAAAAATAATGGATACTAATCGATTATAATGGATTATAATGGATTATTTTTGTTCAAAAATAATCGATTATAATGGCTAGATAATCAATTTTGTGGTCTGAATTTTACATCCGTAATGGACTATAATCGATTATTTTTGTCTCGGGAATCCATTATAATCGATTAGAATCCATGGGGGCTCGGTGCGGGTAGTTTAGTTTTTTTTTTGCGCCGTAAACTCCACGCGAATTTTTGGGGCTTATCGACATTGCGCATTCAGCATCCGATTGACTACTTCAGAAAATTTTTAAAAATTTCATTGCGAGGCCAAACTGTGCACTTTGTGCATTGTAAGCGGATTCCGCAACAAGGACGCTCCCTTTGTTCTTCTTTTGTTCTTTCATTTCCTTTGATCGTTCCGACAAATTTTCAACATGTTTAAAGACTTTGTCTCTGGAATCCTGGAAGATACAGACACAAAATTGTGCGCCTATCCAGTGCACAGTTTGGCCTCGTAATGTTTTTGCTGACGTGAACAACAATGGATCAGTAACGATGAATTATCAATTTTTATCTGGAATGTCTTAAATCGCGATTCATTGTTGCAAACGACAACAGTTTGCAAATCCTGGAATACTAATGGAGGCGCCAAATGGTTAGAAACAACCTTTCTCTTTGGATTGCATTTCGGACCCTAAAAATTGCCGCACACCCAGCGTAACAATTTTTAGGAATTTGATGAAAAAGTTGAAAAACTCAATTTTATCGGATGCGATTGACTTTCATTGTTTTTAGATCAGTTTAAGTCAAATTGTCGCCGACTTTGAATTTTTTTTTTTTGGTTTACCAATCAGTTAATTTCAATTTCGGTTCTCTGATTTAATCATTCCGCTTTCGGGTTACTGATACATCAGTTTACTGACCTATCACCTCTTAAACATTTTGCCTTACTATTATTAACAATCAAACTCTGTTCATCAACTGTCAGCTGAGACCCACAAAAAGAGCGCTTTACATAGCGCAAGCAACGAAAAGCCTTTTTTGTATGGAACAACTCGTCAAATGAAATCCCGCTGGGGACAAAATTATGGGGCTGAAAAACCTTGCTTACCATCATAGCCAACGATTCGTAACATGTTGTGATCGACCCGCCAAGTGAGAATCCCGGTTTGACCAAAATGTGCAACCATACGTCGCACCATGCATGGTTCCATGGAAGCCATGAAAAATTGCCGACGTATTTTTATGTTAAAATAACACAGTTTCCATGCATGGCGCGACGTATGATTTGCATGGTGAAAATTTTTGATATTTTACCAACAGCTTGCATAACGATGAGAAACCATTTTATTACTATTTTACTCCGTAAAAAAAGCTATTTTGAGGGTTTTCGAATGTGCTACGTATGATTAGTCATTTTCCATGCAAATCATGCATGGATGTGCATGGTTGCGCATTATCTTCAATGGTGGGCAACCTGGGATGTTACAACACCAGAGATCGAGCTCGATAGAGAATCTGATATGGCTACCCAACTGGCGACAGCATGAAACAACGCAATAATGAGTGTATATGTTATTTGGTAAACTCATAGAGAAATTTCAGATAAGGTACACTGTCTGCTCGTCACGCTATCTTATTTTCGGCCGGATAGATTCGTGCAACTTCTTAGTCCAATACCAATCTTAATCTTACTCTTATATCTCCTAGTCTCAATAGATGTAGTGTACACCGGTTTATGCGAGTTAGTTCCAGAATGAGAACAACTGTATTCTAAGCTTAATTCAAATTGTTCTGGTGTTGAAACTACAAGTAATTTCAGCACTTACAAATAAGTGGGTTGTTAGTTTGATGGAGCATGATTGGTTAGTATTCAATATTTAAAAGAGATAAAATATCAGAATAATATCCAATAATAAATTCTAGTTTAGATCTGGTTCCACCCATCCGGGGTTTAGAGAGTTTTAGTTCTTCAGTGTTCTACTGTAGTGGAGGATGGATGATGGTGTCTTTCTTTAGAAGTTGCGAGCATATTCTTTTCTTTCGTTTAGGAAGAAGGATTGTTATCACGGTCGTTTCGGGAGATCGTATCATGACTTCTGATCGGTTGTGATGAGTGTTGATTTGATTTATTAGAGAATAGCAACATTCCAATCTCGTTTGGAAGTGGGATGTAGTTTGACCTTGGATGAAGTGCCTGGTGACTTGGATCTGTACGTATACTTGAAAATCGAGATGGCCATTGTTCGGTTGCAATGGGTTTCCTTTGCTGCGATGCCAAGTCGTACTTTAAATCCTTTGAGTGTAGAGACTGTAGGCAGTATGTCGGGTGTGTTTTGCCATTCCGTAGTTGGAGTGTGATTGGGTTGTCAAGATCCTTGCTGCTCGTCTTTGGGCTGTCTGTAATCTATATACTGCATTGTATTTTTTACATATACAAATTTTTGTTAATTTTGTTTTTAGTTATGATCTTGTATTAATTT